TATTTTGGAGGTAGAGTTATGTTTTTGGTGGTCATATACACTTTTATTATCTAATTGATGTACAATGCATTCAAAACAGAAAACGACTGAATAACTATAACTTCACTCCCAATAGATTTAGACTCGGCAGCACTGAGAAGATTCAATGGAAAAAAATTGATCTTATTTCAATCAATTGGATTATGAGGTTGCCTGCTGGAAACAAGACATACAATGGGCTACTTACAAACCTATCTTTGATCTATTGATCGCATTCTACTTCCCCATGTGGCATATTGATCGATTATTACTATTGAGATAGATAGATGGTCAATTGGTTCTTTATCGAGGAGTGTATGGCCACCATTGGGCAGATCACACAAAGCCAGATTCAGATCTACAACGTTTACCATCTGATGGTCTTCCAGGTTATAATTGAAATGCATTGTTATGATTAGTTCATGCACTGCATCACTGCAGGTACATTTTTGTTGAACTGACAAATCAAATGCTATGTGTTGAAACAAACCACTAAATTACTCTAAGGCCCCGTCAGTTTTTTTTAGGTGCACTATTCCCCCCAATGGATTTAAATTGACTGTGTCCTCTTCCATTTGAGCAGACCGGAACGGAAGCAGCTGGGTGTAAACAGACAGCATTGTCCATTTACTCCCAGCTGCCCATACAGCAGAGCAGGCTAGGTCCATGTCCACTCTGCAGAAACTAAAGCGAACATGGACCTGTAAATTAAAAATGCAAATTAATGAAATACTTGTGAGCCACTAGAAGTTTTCTTACTTATAAAGCAATTAATTCCGTGTATGAAAATGCTAATAATATTAAATTTATGAATAAAGTAAACGACTGTAAAATCAATTAACGTGCTTGATTAAATAATTAAATATTTAGATCGCCAGGTACTTTTTACACCCTCTCCAGGTGTATGGATGTTAATTTTCATATATCTATATTGTACCGCGCTCCAAACTTAACAACTCTAAGTGCTCTAAATAAATAAATAAATAAATAAATATTATATATAAACCAAATATTCAATAATAATATATTCCATAATGCTTAAATCCATAATTGCATAATACTTAAATCCATGATTGAAGTGAATCAAAAAATTTCATTAATATTTATAAATCAGTGCATAAAAAAACTGCGTGCCTAAAAAGTGAAAAAATTAAATAAAATAAAAATATAAAAAATGAAAAAATATAAAAAATAAATGAAGTAAAATAAACTGGAAGAAAATTTTATATAAGTTAATAATATTTCAGTTCATACGAATTCATCAAGTGATGACGAGTCCCTGTAGCGTAACGCGTAGGGGAGGGGCGGTGACGTCATCACGCATCCACAGAGGAAACGGCGAGTATAGCGAGTGAACACACACACACCTGCAGGGCTGTTTGCAGGAGGAATTGGATTTATTTATACAAAGCGTTACTTTTGCTGATACCATGTGAGTGGGAGATCAGAAGCTCATTAAACATTTTTACTCAGGATAAGACACTATGTTTCTTTTTCCCTTCTCTATGCATGTATCGTTTATGGAGGAATAAGCCTAAGCAGATAGAGGAGAAAGTCTTGATTGAGAAAAGTTGAATTGAGAGAAAGGAGAGGAGGAAGGAGAGAGAGGTTCATGTCATGAACATTGACTTACTACGCAAATCAGATTGATCCATATTACCATCTCAATTCGTATGAACTGAACTATTATTAACTTATATAAAATTTTCTTCCAGTTTATTTTACTTCATTTATTTTTTATATTTTTCATTTTTATATATTTTTATTTTATTTAATTTTTTTCACTTTTTAGGCACGCAGTTTTTTATGCACTGATTTATAAATATTAATGAAATTTTTTTGATTCACTTCAATCATGGATTTAAGTATTATGCAATTATGGATTTAAGCATTATGGATATAGATTATTATTGAATATTTGGTTATATATATAATATTTATTTATTTATTTATTTAGCGCAGAACATGGACCTGTCATCTGCTGCTCTGATCAGCAGACAGATCCCCTGTTGATCAAAAATAGAGTCCGCCCCATGTGAAAGGGGTCTAAGACTTATACCCTCCATCGCTAAATCTTCTGCTAGTAAAGGCATAGTCACATGGGCAGCAGGCTTTACCGACCCTATGAAAAGCATTTCATGATGGATCGTTTTTCAGATGCCATTTAAAGCAAGTTACTGGCATTTAGGAGGCGATATTGCTGCCTCTGACCATTTGTTGTTTTGTTTTTTTATTCAAAATTGAAATATTACATTGTTACTACCATGCTGCAGCCACTATAGCTGTGTATTGCACGTTATTGAGATATAGTCCCTTTGATGTCAATGGGCATGTTGTTTGACAGGCAGTGTTGCCTATAAATACCATAACAGATCAGTTCCACTTCCCCTGCTCTAATTAAACTGCCATGTAAAAGCACCTGGGCAGCCTCCAAGAACACTTGTAAATAAACGGGTGGTAAAAACACTGATCAATGCCTATTTTTACTCTCCCCCAAACAGTCCATGTGAACTATCCTGGACTCTCTATGTATACTCACCCTTCACTTTATTAGTTACACCTGTTCAATTGCTTGGTAACACAAATTGCTAATCAGCCAATCACATGGCAGCAACTCAGTGCATTTAGGCATCTAGTCGTGGTGAAGACGACTTGCTGAAGTTCAACTCGAGCATCAGAATGGGGAAGAAAGGGGATTTAAGTGACTTTGAATGTGGCATGGTTGTTGGTGCCAGACAAGCTGGTCTTAGTATTTCAAAAACTGCTGATCTACTGGGATTTTTACGCACAACCATCTCTAGGGTTTACAGAGAATGGTCCAAAAAAGAGAAAATATCCAGTGAGCGGCAATTGTGTGAACAAAAATGCCTTGTTGATGGCACAGGAAAATGGGCAGACTGGTTCAAGATGATAGAAAGGCAACAGTAACTCATGTTAATATGGACCAAAATCTCTGAGAAATGTTTCCAATACATTTTTGAATCTATGCCATGAAGAAGTAAGGCTCCATGCACACTAGCATTTTTTGTAACCTCAAAAAACGCTGGAGAAAAACCGCTAATAGTAGCGTTTTAGAAGTGTTCCTGTTTTATTAGCATTTTTATAGGACATGTAAAAAAAGCTGTTAGGAGTGTTTTAGTAGGGTTTAGCAGAGTTTACTTTTTTTTTGCTGCTGGAAAAAAACGTTCCAATTACTCTACAAAACAAAAAAACGCTAATAGCCTAAAGTAGTGTGCATGGACACATAGGATAACACTATTTTCATTCTAGGAGCAGAAAAAGAAATGCTAAAAGCAGCTTCTAGGAGCTTAAAAAAATGCTAGTATGCATGGAGCCTAAGGCAGTTCTGAAAGCAAAAGTGGGCCCAACCTGGTACTAGCAAGGGGTACCTAATAAAGTGGCTGTGACCGACTGTATTTCGCCATCGAAATTCCTCACCGGTCATGACCTGGCAGTGTAACCTAGCTATTTACATGAAGTATCATTCAACTAATTGGTTACATAGTGTCAATTCCTTTGTAAAGCCTCAATCATAAGGCCATCCACTGTTTGAAATTCGGCCAGTTAAGCAAGGACCTGCAAAATTCTGATCAGTGTGTAACTGCCCCTGCTCAACCAAACTTGATTGTTTGAACAAGCACTGTCAAAAGGACATGTTGGAAAATCCTTCTTGATCAGTGGTTGCAGCTGCTTTCAGAATACAATGTGGTTCCTTCCATGTAATTGAAGTGAATGGAGGAATCTGTTAGTTTGGTCTACGTTCAGCCCATTGGCTGAGCAAAAGAAAATAACAGTGCGTGGCCAGCTTTACTTTACTTTGCCTCCTACCTCTTCTCTGAATCTGCTCTTCATAGCTTCCCTGAACTTCTGGCCAGGAGTGCAACCTGAGCTTGTCACTGGTCTTCAAGACTACATGCCCCATGATTCTGTGTAGGGAGCATTGCCCATACTGCCCTGTTTAGGCACATGCACAATACGAGTAAGGCTTTGGTGCCGTTTTCAGGCACACGTGTAGCTCACACAGCTCTTAGGATCAGGACTGGTGTTCAGGCACATGTACAGTACAAGAAGTACTCTCGTGTTGCCACATTTGGCCACATGCACATTACCAGCAGTGCTCTGGTGCGGTGTTCAGGCACATTCCCAGTACAGACATCGCTCTGGTGCCATATTGGGAGCAGATGCACAGTACAGGCAACTCCAAAGCGTGCTATACATGCATCTTCAAAGTGTCCCTATACATGCATTCACATAACTGAAAGAGATTCGACTGCCCGTACCCTGCAAAAAAATACAAATACTGACCTCTCTGGCAGGCAGTGACTGAAATCTTTGTTCTGTTGTAGAGCTATGGCCACCACTGCTATCTGACACTTCCAGGTGTGTCAGATTTCTGGTCCTCCAATGTGAGCTGCAGTCAACTTCTACCTCATCACTGTTCTGTAGTTCAGTAGGGTTCCCATGGAAGGAACAATAGCTCACTATGGAGGGCTAAAACTTCTGAAACACCTGGAAGCGTCAGATAACAGTGGTGGTCATATCACTGCAGTAAAGCTAGAATTGAACTGACCATCCCCTGGACAGGAGAACATCCCTCTTCTACTGCCAGGTTCTGCTGGTCTCACTTTTCTCAACTGGTATAAGGGTTACTTAAAGCGGAGTTCCACTCACCCTGAAAAAAAAAGTCAGCAGCCACAAAAACGGTAGCTGCTGACTTTTAAAAAAACAGCCACTTACCTGTCCCTCGGTCCCGCTGTGTGTCCCTCCCGCAGCCTGTTTCACCAGCCGTCCTGTATTCCAGGAGGCCGGCATCTTCAGTGTGGGCGCCCGGCTGTGATAGCTCGCCCACTGCGCATGCACGAGTAGTGCTGCGCCTCATGAATGGTCCTGTAGTTTTCTGGGACCTGTCACATGTCCCAAAAGACTACAGGGAGGGAGGACACTTTCCGTTTCCGATCACCTGGGCGATCGAACCGGAAGTGGGAGCGGGTACCTGTCAAATTCGGGTACCCGCTCCCCTTCCCCCGCAGGTGCCAATCCTTATTGGAAAGCGGGGGAGCAGTCCTTAAAGTGGAACTTCCCCTTTTGGGTGGAGCTCCACTTTAAAAGAGGAACAGAACAAAATGGATTTTTACTTGTTGCTATGAGTTGAAAGTGTATGTATAGGCATTTTTTTTTCTTACACTTTGGATAGAATGTACAGAGTTAGAATCCCTGTCAAGTTTTTACTGCTATGCAGGGCATTGTTTTAGAGTTTTCTTTCACTTTCTGTCCTGTCCTGGACATATTACCAGAAAGGAAGTGAGGGAAACTCTTCAACAACAGCATACACAAAATAAAATGCTTGACACTAGTGCGTTTTCTCCTGCGTTTTCTGTCACGCATAACATTGGAAATCACATTATTCTCTCTGGTGCCTGTTCACGTCAATGCAGCACAGGTACACAAATGCATCAACATCTGGTTTGATGGATGTAGTAGCAATTCTCAATGAATTCTCAAGGTGCTCAGATATTTTGGTTTTAAAAGATACATTCACATTTTAGACAAAAATAATTAAAAAAATGCAGGTAAAAAAAATGCATTTATTGTTTTTGTCTGCAGGAGCCTGGAAAGCATTGCACCAGCAATCAGTAGATCACTGGTGCCATGCAGGTCTCCTGCAGACCTGTCAGTATATCTGCTTGCTGTACGGGATGTGCAGTCAAGCAGATATTCTGACAAGAAGCTTCAATGAACTACCACAGTGCTCCACAGCGCCGTGGTAGTTCATTGAAAACTATAAGCTGACAGTCGCTAAGGCTGCAGGGACTTGCAGTTCATTCATTCAGGAAAGTCTGTGAATGAATTATGCGGCTGCATGGGCGGAGCCTCGCACGGCCACGCTGTTTTCTAATTTCACAGATAGAACAGAAAGACTTCTCCCCATACTATCTGTTAGAGGGAGGGAGGTGGCGGCTGTGAACAAGTCCACCCTAAAAACAGATGGAATACATAACATGTTCCCAAAGGTGAACTTATCCTTTAATTTTGCCCTTCCTGTGCTTCGTCCTTGAAAACAGTTACTTACAAATATAGGTGCTACTGAAAACTGGTTACTTGAATATTGCCCGATAGTGAAGAGCAGGATATTTTTCTTTAGGAAGATAAAACTTTTAAAGTCCAGTAAAGAGACACTGTCAAATTGTTCTTCAGCCGCATGTGTTTGCTACGTGTAAATGCATTTTAAAAAAAAAAAATCAACATTTTTAAGTAAGTTTATGATTTTGTGTTGGGCTGCAGGTTGCACACCCCCGGTCTAACTACAAAAGCTATTTGTATAATCAATTGAATCTTAGTGTGCTTTGTGTCTTTCTTCCAGATGTGTCCAGTAATCAGTGTGAAATTTTGCCTCTGCGGGCGCTTCCTTATATAGACCAGTCACTGCTGCACTCTCATGTTGTGCAGGAGGACTGGTCTTGACTCCGCCCCTCCTATAGTGTTCTATAAGAACCTGTTGGGTCCCTCCCACAGCTCTGCTCTCCGAATAGTGATGGTGTTACTGCTACTTTTAAAATTTAAAATGGGGGTTTTCATTTGGTGTACAGAAAGTGGATGTTTATCCTAAGTGGCTGTTGAGGAATATACTTGTATTAAAAAACGAAAAAGGACAAAACTTTTTTTAATTTTGGATAGGGTGGAGAGGGATTAGAACACCTGTCTGTTTTTATTACTCTCTGTGCCCCTATCAGGGAGATTCACCCTCTCTAACTGTCCTGTTTAAAGCGGAGTTCCACCCAAAAGGCGAAGTTCCATTTTAATGCTTTGTCCCCCGCTCCCCATTAAGGATTGGCACCTTTGGGGGGCGGGTACCCGAATCTGACAGGTACCCGCTCCCACTTCTGCTGCGATAGCATTAGCGATCGGAAGCAGAGGTTGTCCTCCCCGTAGTCTTCTGGGACACGTGACAGATGCCAGAAGACTATGGGGCCATCCACATAGCGCAGCGCTTCTTGCGCATGCGCAGTGGTCACTCAGCTGTGAAGCCGCAAGCTGTCACAGCCGGGTGCCCACACTGACGATGCCAGCACCAGGGAGAGAAGACGGCTGGTGAAACCAGCCATGGTGGGGACACCGCTGGACTGAGGGACAGGTAATGCAGGCCATAGACGGTTCGTTTATCGGCAGATTTTTCATCCGCAAAAGGAAACATCGGTCGTTCTGTTGCCACCAATGATTGTGAAAAATGGCTGTTTTTCGCAAATTTTCAGCATGACTGATAAAAGAAATGAGGAGGAACCGCAAAAATCATCCGATGACATTGCCCCATTAACAGTGCGAAAATCGGCCGATAAACGAACCGTCTATGGCCTGCATTGGTGTTTGTATTTTAAAAGTCAGCAGCTACAATTTTTGTAGCTAATGACTTTTTTTTTTCCAGCTGAAACTCCGCTTTAACATTATTATTGAAAGTGAAAGTAAAGAAAAACCCTCATTTTAGGCTGACATCATTACAGTAAGAGGGAAAATCTTTCAATAGGGACACTTGTTCTGGTGACACACTGGGATTCCCTTACTTTGAAGGAATTTCCACTCACTTCCTGTAAGACAGGATGTGAAGAGAAATCTATCCAATGAGACACAGACGGCAAAAAAAAAAAACCTGTCAGGGGTTATAACCCTCCTTTACTCTATCCAAAATGAAAAAAGAAAAAAATGTGCCTGTTTGTACAGTTTAACAATTTTCTGTCTGGGATTCAGCGTTAAGAATTATTAAAGCGGCGTTCCAGCCGTTTATTTTTTTTCTAAAGGCACCCACGTGAGACTGGCAGCTTAGGCAATGCAAGTTGAGATCCCCTGTACTTGTGATCCTTTGCTTTCCTTATAAAAAAAGGAATTTACTTACTGCACCCTCATATTGTGAACGCTGTCATCTTAAGTGTGGGCACCTGAAGCTCGCTCAGACATTCTTCTGGGAAATTGTGCAGCTGACTACCCAGCACGCACTTTCCTTTTTCGCACCTGCGCAGTGTGAAAATAATCCCTGTGACTGCGTCGCTTCCGGTCTCATATTAACGCAAGATTTTGGTATCAGCTATTCCCTAGGACACCTGGGATAGATGACACCGATATCCCAGAAACCCTAGGGAATGCCTGATGATGTAATCGCCTAGGCGGCTGGGACCGGAAGTGGAGACAGAAATTACCAATAAAAGGTATTTAAGAAAAATATATATATATACATATATATTGCCAAAATGGACTGTGAAGAGGAAGACCATTGTCTTTCAAGAAAGAAAAAAAAAAAAAAAAAAAAAAAGGCTGGAACTTCGTTTTAATAAAAAGAACAATTCTTCATTAACAAGGCTGATAATTATTTCAAGTAAATGAAGAAATCAAGTGAATAAAGGTAAAGAATTACAACAATTGGCTACACAGATACTATACTTAGACAAAAAGGTTTAAAGTAAAAAAAAAGCCCAAAAATACATAAGAGGCCGACTCAATGGACCACTTGGTTGCCTTCTGCTGTCAGTCTGTTTCTACATCAATCTGCGCAATCAGAACAGGAACACACCCTGTTCTCTGACACCGCTAACACACTGGTCAAAGTAAGAGAAAAACAACCTGTATTGCAAGTCACTGAAATATAATGCAATGAGTAATTCCTTGTAATTAGCATTTCTTTATCATCATACAAGCCATAAACAAATTCCGAGACTGAACTTGGAACGCTTAAAAAAAGAAAAAAAAATGTCAAGACACAATAAAACCTTAATACCAAGCATAGCACATAATAAAAATTCCTATGGAATAAGCTAGTTACATACACAGAGCCAAAGACCTAAAACCATACCATATACAAGTAGCTGATTTATTGATCTGAACAGAAGCCCATCCAGCACGTTCACCTTTCACCACTTAAAAGGGGGTGCACAGAAAACAATGATACCATGCAAATCCAACAAAGTAAAAGATGGTCAGCAACCCAAGGGTAAAAGTGATATTAAAAGCTTAATTAAAAAAAAATAATAATAATAAACACATCATATTACCTGCTCTCTGCAGTGGTTTTACACAGAGCAGCCCAGATCCTCCTCTTCTGGGGTCCCCAGTAGACTCTGCTGGCCCCTCCTTCCTGTCAGGTGCCCCCACAGCAAGCAGCTTTCTATGGGGGCACCCGCTGCTCCGTGTGCCCATTCACACACGAAGCCACGGATTGGCCCCGCCCCCTCCCTTCTCACTGGCTCACTGGTTGTGATTGACAGCAGGGGGATCCATTGTCTCAGCCAATGAGGAGAGGGAGTCCCGTGACTGCCGAGATTCCAGTGCACATCGCTGGAATCCTTGAGCCTTTACAATCACTTTAAAGATCTCAAGTCTTTACTGAGATCTGAGTTGAAAAAGCAACATAGCTTGTACAGAAAGAAATGTCAAACTACCACCAGAACCCCTCTTCAGTAAATTGTTGGATACAGTTGTAGATTGTAACCTCTATGAGCAAAGCCCTCTGATTCTTCCTGTATTGAATTGTATCTGTATGTTGTAAAGTGCTGTGTAAACTGTTGGTGCTATATAAATCCAGTATAGTATTAATTAAAAAAAAATACAAATTGGAAATAATTGATCACATTTCTGTTGTCACCTTTAAGCTGGCCATACTTGGCTCAATTTTCAGGATAAGTCAGCTGGTTGAACAAAACAAACCTGAACAGATTCCCCCATCCACAGATTTGCAGTGTATAGTGGAATCCTCCCCACTGTGTCATTGTATTTTGACACCATCTGCATGCGGTGATTGAAGCAGAATTTTCCAACAAGCCAGTTAATGAGAAGTCGTTTTTTAGACTGACTCATGAATGTGAATGGACACAAGATGGATCAAAATTTGCCCGGTCCTGGTTTCAAGCCATCTATGGCCAACTTTAGGTCTAAGCTTGTGCAACTTTGGATCCTTGTCCCATCCAACCCAAGTGAGCTCGCCAGGAAGCTGTCATTGTACTGGACCAATCATCTGTGGTGGGCCATTCCTTGCCCTGCATCCAAGGGCCGAGGGGCAGGGAATGCTTTGGCCCCTTTTGACTGGCCCAGGGCAGTGACAGCTTCCTGGCTTGGCTCAGGTTGGTTAAAACCCCATATACACTATCAGAATATCATACAAAAAATGCCGCTTTTAAAGTGATTTCATGATAATCTGATCGTTAGTACACAGCCATTGTCTGAAAAAATTGAAGGGACAAGCATGAAAATACAATACAAAATGCATTTGTTAGACTGACTCATGTATCCGAATGGACACAAGATGGATCAAAATTTGCCCGGTCCTGGTTTCAAGCCATCTATGGCCAACTTTAGGTCTAAGCTTGGGCAACTTTGGATCCTTTGTCCCAACCAACCCAAGTGAGCTCACCAGGAAGCTGTCATTGTACTGGACCAATCATCTGTGGTGAGCCATTCCTTGCCCCGCATCCAAGGGCTGAGGGGCAGGGAAAGCTTTGACCCCTTATGACTGGCCCAGGGCAGCGACAGCTTCCTGGCTTGGCTCAGGTTGGGTAAATCCCCATATACATGATCAGAATATCGTACAAAAAATGCCGCTTTTAAAGTGATTGTATGATAATCTGATCGTTAGTACATATGAGTACCTTGAAAACGCTTTGCATGCATTTTTCATGATGAAAAAAGGCTCTGGACAGCATCGGGAACTAGAAGAGTTAAAAAAATGTGCAAACGCTTAGAAACGTGATTTGCCGCATTTACAAGCAATTTGCGTTTGAAACGCCGATAAAATTGACTGCTGAATGCAAGTTTTCTGCATTCAAAAAAACGACTGTAAACGGCGATGTGTACATGGACACATAGGAAAACATTAGGGTGAGTTCAGGGGTTGCTGAAAAAAAAAAACACTGAACAGCTCCTAAACGTGAGTTTATCAGCTGCAGTGTACATGAGCCCATACAGCCGGAGGGGGACAGATGCAACATTGGACCAATGCTGCATCCACCTAGGTAAGTATAATTTGGGAAGAAAAAAAAAAAACATACTTTTCTTTTAAAGAGTTGGGATGCTTAACCCTTGATGTGTCATATTTTGCTTTGTTGACAATTTTTTGACAACAGCATGAAGATCTCCCAATCTTTGTTGCCAAACCAACCACAACTTTTTCACGTAGGATGCAACTTTTTTTTCTTTTTGCTCTCCACCCATGCAGTAAGGCTGCATTCACACTCAAGCGTTATGTAGCTTGAAGCTCCAAAAAAGCTCAAACTTAAAAAAAAAAAAAAAAAAATCAATTGTTTCCTATGGTGCCTTTTCAAACATGATCGTGCAAACAGGCACCATAGAGAACAATTATTTTTTTATTTTTTTTTTAAGTTTGAGCTTTTTTGGAGCTTCGAGCTATGAAACGCTCGAGTGTGAATGCAGCCTTAGAGGACTGGTCATTTTGTATGATTTATTTACCGGGAACAAAGGGGGCATTGTTTGTCACTGAGCATTTGTTACCTAATTTCCTGGCCCCTTGTGCTTGTTTTGGAAAGCAATTCAATAAGATACAACTTAAGATTTATTTATATATATACACACACACTTTCCCTTTTTTGATTCCATTGTTATTTATTTGTAATATATATACACACTCACACACATACATACACACATGCACAAACACTTTCCCTTTTTTTGGTTAGAGATTTTATATATATATATATATATATATATATATATATATATATATACATACATACACACACACACACATACATACACACATTACATTTTAAAATGCCACTATATATATTTCTTTTTTATTAGTAAGAGATCAGTGGTATGGATAGGTGATGAGCTCCTGATCCTAGATTGGGGATGACAATGGACACCATCCCAGGCCTGTCTATATCCATCTGTTGGAGTGGGCACCCAGGCTGCACAATGTGAGCAGAGCAATGAACGGTGAGGATGGATGGTGCGGTCTCCAGGGATCACACCTGATCGGACTGGCCATAGGCTCGCACTGTACAGACAATAGCAGGAACGCATTGCAGCTGGCAGCCTAAGGGAAGGACGGGCCCATTGCAGCCTAGCGCTGTCAGCTCATGCACACGGGTGACATCACGGCTCACATGACGTCACCCCACACA